CTCTGCCCCCCCCCCGTGGGGTTCTCTCGCCACGGAAACCAAAGGGGCTGGAAACTATTACTGTGCTGCGCAGAGGAGGAGCCCTGCAATGAAGTCGCATGCTCAGCCGCACACTTTAGAGGGAAGCTTGCTTGGCACTATTCGGATCATTCACTACTGTAGCCTACGAATGTCCATCCATCTCATTCATCTACCTCATTCAATATTTTTAATATAATAATGAGTATTTCTGGGTTGTTGAGATTATTTACCAGAATTAGCCAGTTTCTTTGTTTTTATAACGAGAAGGGAATCATAGTTGATCCTTCTGCTAAGATACTGCTGCTTATTACTTTGCTCCACTTAACAGAACTCAGTTTCTTGTTTCTTAGGAGTAGACATTGAAATCATTATTATCTAATTCTCTGAGAAAGCAGGATTAAGGAAATGATATCTTTTAATGAGCATGGCCAAATCTTTGCTGAAAGAATATATACTTCAAGACAAGGAGTTGACTAGCAGATAGCTTTACCTGAATCTGTGTCTGATCTTGTACAAATGTGGCCCATTTATTGCATACCTAGGAACACAGTACCCTGTTAATGAGAGACAACTTACCAGTACAACATACATAGTTTGCCTTATGCATGTATAATATACCAATAGAATTCTGGCCAGTAATTCTTATGAGGTATTTTATACATTAAAGTGAAACCAGTTCATATTTCAAATGTCAAAATTAGTATACACATTCCTCCTTCTGTTGCAAAGCACTTTGGAAAACTGGAGAAAGCAGAAGCACTGACATAAAAACCAACTATTAATTTCATTATGTTTAATTCTAGAGCAAAGAAAATGAAGAATTCAATAGATAAGTCAACAGAGACTGACAATGGATATGTCTCCCTTGATGGAAAAAAGAGAGGTAAAAGCAGCGAAGATGTTTTGCAGTCCCATGGGTCCCACTGTGAAGTTATCAGACCAGAAGAGACATGCTGGAGTACGGGAATGGTCAGAAACATATACAGTAATCCAAATCATCACAAAGTGAGTGTCTAATTTTTTGTACAATGCTTTTGTTTTATTTTACTAATTAGATCAAAAGTCCCCTTCCTCCTCCTGTATAATAGTACTTTGTAATGCACTATTGGAAACTTAATAGAATTGAACATCTAGAATTTATATCTGTCCACGTTTTCTCTAAAACTGTTTTCTTCTCTGTAACATTATAAGAATTTTGGAAATCTAGCCCATATGTAGGAAAGGTGGAGATCATATACTTTGCTCCTCTATTTGCAGACTACAGTGGTGCCTCGACTTACGAACTTAATCTGTTCCAGAAGATGGTCATAACCATCTTCCAATGCATCCCATAGGAATGCATTGAAATGCAATTAATCCATTCTGGCCAAAGAAAAAAATCACACAAAAAAAACCCACTGCAAGATCCATCAGAAACGCGGTTAATCCGTTCCGGCCGAAGGGGAAAAAGAAAAGAAAAGTAAACAAACTGTGCAAGGCCCCTTCAGAAATGCAAAAAAGCAAAGCAGAAAGCAAGCAAACCGTGCAAGACCTATTGGAAATGCAAAAAAAGCAAAGCAGAAAGCAAGCAAACCCTGCAAGACCCATCGGAAATGGGGGGAAAGCCCAAAAAGCAAGCAACCCCCCCAAGACCCATCGGAAATGGGGGGAAACTCCAAAAGCAAACACCCCCCAAGACTTATCGGAAATGGGGAAAAACCCCAAAAGCAAGCAACCCCCCCTAAGACCCATCAGAAATGGGGGAAAAACCCCAAAGCCAGCAAATCCCGCAAGACCTATTGGAAATGGGGGAAATCCCCCAAAAGCAAACAAACCCCCAAGACCCATTAGAAATGGGAAAAAACAAAAAACAAACCCCCCCAAGACCCATCACAGCATAGAAACATAATCCCACCACCTAGCCCAAAACCACACTGCAAAACCCACCCATAACAGTTCATAAAAAACAGAAAGCAGTACCTTACCTTACCAGGCAGTCCAAAGCCACTTCTGAGCGCACTCACTCAAACCTTTGTAGCGATAGGGCTACAAAGAAACAGCCTCTTCTCCAACCAATGGTTAGCAATTTCAATTCCTTGCCTTTTTTGGTTGTAACTTGAAGCTCCGGCCACAAGTAGAAGCAAAATTCTTCAGCATGGCCTCTGTGGGTTAAATAAATATGGGTTAAATCAATGCCTGCGCTGGAATCTCGGAATCTTCTAGAGCTTTTCTGAAAAGATACAAAGTTTAGATTCCCTCTTGCACGCATGCTCCATTCCCCCCCCCCAGCCTCCAGTTCCATTTTTGCCGCCATCGCGCTAGGAATGTCTCGGATAGAGCTTTTGCTAATTGTTGTTGGTTGACCAGCCGGAGCTGGTCATAACTTGAAATGGTCGTATGTCAGGACTTTCGTAAGTCGAAGCACCACTTTACATGATTTTTAAATTGTTTCACAAGGAAACAGTCGTCTGAATTCCCTGCCCTTATATCATCCTCTTATCTGTATACATGTGTTAAAGGGCGTGTTGGGATACTCAGGTGAGCTCTTTGTTTGGTGAAACAAACAGGGGCCACGGAGTAAATGTCACACCAGTGTTTATGATTGTAAGGGAAATCACACCCCTTGTTTAGTTAAAGAACATAAGAAGTGCATTCAGATGAGGCAGTTTAAGAGACTGTGCTTACTCACTGTTTTCAAAACGGGATCAGAGGTATGGAAATAAATCACAATCAGGCAACCCAGTTTTCCTCCTTTAGTAAATTCACTGAACCAAGGAATTAGAATTTATCTCTACAGAGCTGTTATTTCAAATTGTAAAATACAATTGAACCAGTCATTCTTAAGTGAAGTTTCTAATGGGATACTGTTTCTTATTGGCTTTAGTCTGTCATCTGATGAAAAGACTAGTAAAAAGCCACTATAACCTATTAAAATAAAAAATTAAAATTCATTATTTCAGCATATAACATTTTCAATCTGTAATCTGTGTATCAAGAATAATTTAAATAAAACCTCATTAATGTCTTTGGAATTATTCCAGAACTCTTTTAAAAGTCTTGCAAATAAAACCCTTCTGTATATTTTTCAATATAAAGATTATCTCTGGAACTTTGAATTTATTGCTCTTATCACTGCACCTCTAATTTAAAGTGCCTCGGAATGTAAACTGGTTCTAGCCACTCTGTTGTCAGTTGTTTATGTCATATTTTAGTGGAGACTGTTTGTTTTGGTTTTTAATTGCCTGTAAACTGCTGAGAAATAGTCCTTTGGCACTAATGGGGTGATATACAAAATAAATTAATAAATAAATATTTCAGTCCCACACCATCCTGCTGCGCCATGTACACAGTGATGAAAACATCAGCAGTGGCAGATTGCTGCTGATTAAAGGCTTCCTTTTGGGATTTGGGAGTTAACGTGACCTTACTGCATTGTGTATGAGATGTGTGCATATTGAAATCATCTTTAGTCAGCAGTGATTTGCCTTTAATTAGTGATGATTCGCCACTGATGCTGACATTAACAGTGCCGTGCATGCAGAATTGTGCAAGAGGAATTAAGCCAGTATAAGTAAATGTTATCCCACAGGCGACCATAGTAGTTTCTAACCTACTCAAAGGTATAGATTGAAAACTTGCTTAGTTACTTCTAACTATATTAAGCCTATATGTGTATTAGAATGAGAAGAATTTGGATAGTTTCAAATGAATATCTTAATTTTACATATTCAGGTTTTACAGAGGTTTGGTTCTAGAATACCATATTTTTTCGTGTATAAAACACTTTTTCCTAAATCATTAGAGGAAAAATTGGGGGTTGTTTTGTACATGGAAGGAGGTGGAGGCAAAGGAGCAGCCATGCTCGGCTGCCTCTCAAGGCTACCCATTGATTGACTGCTGCCACCACCGCTGGATTGTCTCCTCCAGCACCATTTGCAGGTTCCCTTTGGGCAGGGGACAAGGCGGCGATGTGATCAGGCAGTGAAGGCAGCAGCAGCAGGAGATGGAGGTGCAGCCGCCCCTCGTGGCTGCCCATTGATTGCTCCTCCGCCTCCAGCAAGAGACGAAATTAGGGGGTCATTGTATACATTGTCATATACACAGAAAAATACGATAAGTCACATTTTCTCCATCTTCTCATCTAAATTACCGTATTTTTCTGCGAATAAGGCTATACTTCTGTCTAAAATCTTTAGACTAAAAATTGAGGGTCGTCTTATACATGGAAGTAAGATGAGGAGAGAACAAAAACAAATGGAAGGGAAAGGAGGTATCAAAGTGATCCTGCAGGGCTTTGATCCCTGCTTTCCCCTACACTTGCTATGCCCCACTTAGATTTCTTAATTTTGGGTTAGAAACATGGGGGCATCTTATACACGGACAAATATGGTACTATCCCCAACTGCTGATGGATCATTTTCTTGTGATGGAATATTGTGAACCCACAAATAATCCAAAGACTACAGCCTGGAAAAATATTTTTTACTTCAACACCCAGAATTCCAAAGTTGTTGGTTAATGGCAAATTCTGGGAATTGTAGTTCATTTGCCTGAACATATATATAAAGTGTAGTTGGGATTTTTCCCCCTCTCCTGTGGCTGTTGAGGTTGTTTTTTTTCTGGTTATGTATATTGTTTAGAAAATAGTGTGAAGGTATGAGTTGTAGTTTCATTTTTTATGTTAGTCGGTTATCATCTGAGAATGACATAAGTTTGTAAATACAATCATTAACTTTCTTGAGGAAATGCAAAAATTGTATGAATTACTTATTTGGGAAAAAAGTATTATACTTCATAGTACCTTCTGTGCATGAAAAACACCATGAATGTTTCTTAATTCAGTGTACCACAGAATAATGCTCTTAATACAAGCAAGAACAATCTAAGCGTGCCCATTATTTTTAAATGTTGGTTTGAATAACTGTATTTCCAACACCTCCCCTCTGTACAAACTTTGTAGCTTGCGGTCTGCTCTGCTCTTTACAGGAAATGCTGCTGCTGCTATTTGATGAAGAACTGCTATTTATGTAACATGCTTGCCATCTGACTGGTTTCAGCAGCTGCACTATTGAAACTGACATACATTTATTTTTTACCATGAAATATGGCACTCAGTGAAAAGGAAATAGAGCTAATATAGTTGTATGAGCAGAAACATTTGAGCAGTAATAAGATCAGTGACAACCATGAGTTTGTTCCAAGTAGTGTGTGGCCTCACTTGCATTGCAGGACACACTTTGGACCTGGTTTTCTGTACAAGTCAGGATCTTGGTGTAGAGAAGGTCTCTGTAGTTTTGCT